TTTAAAGGGCACCCTGGGGCTCCTTTGAAAAGAGAGAGGAAGGGCAGAATCTGAAAAACTAATAAAGAAAGCTCCTACAATCACAAGCAAAATGCCAGAAGCACGTCTGCTAATTTCAGACCAGTATTTACCCTATTCACTACAAGTGCAATAATTTAAAAGCCTATTATACCTCGTAAAAGTAAAAATTAATGCATGAATAGCCTTTTCATATAGCAAAAATGCCAATATTAGTTACAGTAGCATTCTTGTCATGGTTTTAAATCTTCCATCTTGTTTATTGTATCATATATTGGGTCCAATCCTGCAATCTTTGCTCAAAAGTAAACACATGAGCAGCCCCTTTGAAGTCAAGTGCTATGCTTACATGAGAGAATTTTACCAAAGTATTCCCACTAGTGCTAACACTAGTTCCTTGTAGCTCTGATGGGAGCCCTACTGTAAGCAAGGCTCCGGGGGCTTACATGTTAGTTAAGCTTACTGAAGAGTAGGTTCAGTTGACACAGCACTAGTCATAATTCCAGTCACAATTAAATGAGAGCTCTCACTGGTACTGACATGGTGGGAGCACCAACTGGAATTTTTGGGGTAAACTTTCCTATTTTAGGCATGCCTGAAAGGATTGTTCACGTGAGTATAAGGCCCGATTCTGCAGCCCTTACTTCCCCAAACCAGAGGAGAATCACAATAGTATATTTCAGGGGTTCTCAAACCGGGGGTCGAGACCCCTCAGGAGGTCGCGAGGTTATTACAAGGTATATTTCCTTGATCAGTAAATGTGTATCAAGGTTTTTTGAAGATGAAAATCACTCCATAAGTGCTAGACATTATTATATTATTATTATTATTTTGATTCCTGCAACATCTGTATACGATACAAATTGGTTTGTTCTAACCATGCTGCAAACCACAATAATGGTCCCAATCCTGCAACCTGTAATATACAAGCAGATCCCGTACCCAAACAGCATCTGGGGCTCCAGGCTGGAACTGGGGTGTATCTGTGTGGAACAAGGCTTATCCAAATATGAAAAAAAAAGAGAGCACATCAACTGGCTAAATCCATTTACTGAGGATCCAACTGAGGATCTGATCCCCTTGATCTTAAATAGGAGTTTATAACAATACAGTCAATCAAATTCAAACCAACCAGATTATTACTGCTAAAATACAACTGTTCAGAAAATGAAATCAGTCTCCATTAACTCTTACGTGTCTTTTTTTTAAATCTAGAACAAAACTACTAATAGTGATCCTTAGATCTCAAATCCAGTTTAAGAATTGCAAAACAAAGAAAACATTAAAAAGCTTGATACCAACAATAAAAGCTTATTGTGGACTCCGCTGAAGGCTATCCATTCCATTCAACATTTCCATGTTTAGTCATTAAGCTTCATTTTTTGAAATAATTCCAAAAAATGTGCTGAGCCGGAGGAGCAAAAGCCAATTAATAAACTGAACATTTCAGTAAGAGAGTGGACTTCAGACCAGATCTCAAAATATGGTAAAGTATTAAAAGAAATTTTTACCACCTACTTTTTAGTGTCTGGTTCTGATACTCCCTTCCCTTACACTAGTGCACATCAGAAGTAGCTCAGCTGAATCAATGCAATTAAACTAGTTTAAGTGAGAGGAGAATCAAGCTGGAATTGGTTCAAGATATCTCGTAAGACTGAAAAAGGAAAAAAAAATCCATGATGTATCATTAAGAAGTTATATCAAGAGATATATTTTAATTTTAAAAGTATGACATTTCTATTCTTTATTTGCCAGACTTAATGTAAACTATTAACAAGCAGATAATTGACTTAGATTGCCATAGCTAGTTAACCACAGTGACACAATCTTAACATTAGCTAGTCTTCATACATGTGTCAACCTGTAGATGATTAATTAAGAAAAATCTTCAATGCTTCTCACCAACGAATCTTCTAGAAAGTATTGTTTCTTTTTCAGCTTCCACTCAGAAGGTTATATTGTGCCATCAGTTTTTAAGCAGAATTTAAAATGAGGAGATGGGGGATTCTGCATCTGTAATTCTGAAGAGCTTTAACAGTTTTCCGGTCCTGAAACAGGTTTTGTTTTGTTCAATAAAAGTGAACAGTATTGGATGCAATATTAGTCAAAGATGGAAGATATTGATTCAAAAATGTGTGGGGAATGCTGGGCAAAACTTATTACTGGCAGTCAAACCCTGAAGTTTGTAATCAACTGACTTCAACAGACATTTCCCTGAGTAAAATACTGAAAGACCCACAGATTTGGCCCTAAATAACTAGAAGAAAAAACAAACACTAGTGATCTTTGATCTCCCAATAATCTAACAATGCAAAAGGCGTATATAGGGTAAAGGCTCAGAACAGCATGATTGATTTCACGTCAATCTAGGAAGCCCAAAAAGAAAAGAATTAAAAGGCTTTAATGAAATTGCATTCTAACTTCCCACAACTTCTCCCTCCCCCTCAATGAATCTTTGCTCATTTCCTGCAAAACACATGAAAAGTAAATCTGGATTAAAGTGGGATTTCATTGCTCAAATTTCCAGTCAGCTCAATATATAAAAGAAGGTTTTGGTTTGTTGTATAGGAAGTGTTGCATATGCTGCACATCTATCTTAGCTCAAATCTCCTTGGATGTCCTGTCCCTGTTTGTCTTGACTGCAGCTTAATTATTTACTGTAATTCTAGCAGTCGGTGAAGAATCTAAGTCTAACCAGGTGTCATCTAATTACTGCTTTCAATTTTTAACTGAAATTTTGTTTTTTAATCCTATTCTTCACTTTAGGTGATTACTTAGCAAATTCCTGATATAGTTCACTGCCCAGGATATAGAAAAGGAGTAAATAATTAAAGAAAGATCAAGATAAGTACTAAAAGTAGATTACTCATTTAAAAAAAAACTTACGAAAACAAATACTGACATTAAGTTCATAGCAATGTCACTTTTATCAACTAAAACGTGAAAAGATTGTAATGTGTTTCACTGATGCGTATTTTTAATTTTCAAGCCATCACAACTCCCCATCCCCAAATCAGAGGTCCCAATCCTGCTCCCATTAGGTCAGAGGGTATTCTGCTGTTGATTTCTGTCAGAGCAGCTCAAGCCTAGCATTCCTCTTATAAATGTTCACTGACAGAGTACAAGAAAATTATACTAAAGTGCAGGATTTTGATAAACAGTTCAATCCAAAGGTCCTCTCCCATATCTGCCTTTACCAGCAGTACAGACTGTAAACTGGACTGTACTCATTTTCTTTTCAAAACACCTACTTGGCTTTTTTTTTCCCCTTAAGGCCCAAATCCTCCCTCCCCTGTGTAAAACCTCAGAGTAGGGGGTTTCACCCAGGGGCTCTATGCAAGGGACATACTCTTCTGCTCAGACCTCCTGGGCTTCTACCCATGCACAGAACAGAGATAGTAGAGACTGTAGTAGCAGTGCAAGCTTCACCGTATAACCCCAGCAATATGTAGCAGTTCTGGTCTATCAGAACCATCCATGCCCTTTTATTTCTTGGCCTCATTTGTGAAACTATCAGCAAAAGTGTCAATTCATGCCAAATGTGATTGTGGTTTCTGAGATGTGGACACGTATCCACCAGGATATGGACTGTGATCACCTATTAATTTTATAGAGGCCACTGTACATCCAGCCCTGGGCTGGATTTAAACTGGCTACCTGGAAGTGAACAGAGTTCACTTTTGTATCCTAATATAATCCACTCTGCCATTGTATGCCCCTGTTTCACACTTTAGAAGGCTTTGAAATCACCTCCTCCTTTTGAGAGAATATTCTTGTTGCGCAAAGTTGTTCACTACCATTGTTTGTTAAGGGATTTGCTTTTCTACCATACCTCATTTAAACACAGGACACATTTTCAGTTGTGCATGCATAAGCAAACCCCAAATATTACTACTTTTTATATCACTCAGTGCTCGCATTTGCACACAGAGATTTATAATTGCTCACCTAAATATCCAATTTGTGGTTTGTACATGCAGGTACATGGGCCAATTTTAAACTTGCACGAAATGGAGGTTGGCCAAAAAATTGTCAAAGAATGTGAATTCACTAATATACATAAAAGCTATAAACCTCTGTTTATCACTTATGATGCCACTATGTAAGCGAACATCACTTTTTCATACATGTGGCAGAATTACATTTTTATTTTGAACAAAGAAGCTTTAACATTTTAAGGTTTTGCAATCAAGCACTCAAAAGACAGGAATTGTAATATTACAGCTGAAGTTTCAACCTTAACTCTGCTCTGAATACAGACTTAAAATACAGTCTCTCCTAAAACCATTCCATATTATTTGTCAAATAACTCTGAAGTTTATTTTAAACCCTTAAATTAAGTAAATCATGGCTCATGCAGCAAAATTCAACTGTGCAAGTGCAAAATGTCCAAATTTAAATTCTCCTGGATAGAAGTTTGGCCCCACTGAAATTAACTGGAGTTTTCCCTTTACTTTTAATGGGGCCAAGATTTCTCCCCTTTCCTTTAAAATTACTCTACCAATTTGCTTCAAACTTGGCTTATAACTTAGATCTCAGTGATTTAAGGAATTGTGTTACCATTTGCAAAATTTTTGATCAGGTTATACTGGGAAGGATATAGATTTTTCTCAATATACACATAAAATAGATGAATCAGATTTGTTAAAACTTTATAAAAAAAACTTCACCTCTGGCCTGAGACCAACCATGGAAAAATCTCAGCCCATGAGGATTTTGCTTCAGGAAATTATGAGCTACTGAAAAAGGAGGAATAGACCAAAAGTTGGAAATCAACTTAATTGTAGTGTGCATTCAGACAGCTGTATGCATTTTAGTATCCAGAGGATTCACAGACCAAACAAGTGTGTCCGTGTAAGGTGAAAGGCTATCACCAGAAACGCTCACCTCTCCAGCATCATGAAGGTTTAGACCAATATCATGATATTACTTATTAACTGTGGAAATGCAGAGCGCAGTTCTGCAATCATTGCTCACACAAGTCCCGCTGACTTGGACTGGACTCTTAATCTGGTAAACTAAAGAGGATCTGGCCAAGATATACAAAAAAATGTCTTGCCATTTAATGCAATGCAGGGAAGAGTACTGAGGAAATGTAAAGATACAGACAAGACCAGATTCAAAGCAGTGATTTAAATGTTGATGTAAATTACACATTGTGGTGAAATCCTGGGCCTACTGAAGTCAATGGGAATTTTGCAGAAAACAGGTATGAGTGACAATGTTTTATATCTTGCAGTAGTTTGATATTGAGATGGTGGAAAAATGAATGCAACTTGCACACTGAGGAGACCGAAGTGGTGTAGCTGGAAAAGTAGTTAACAGGAGCATATCAGATAAAGTGGGAGCTCCACTACCTTATGCTTTTCCTGCTAAATCCTTGTCATCCTCCTCCTTACGATGTATTTTACCTCATTTTGCCTATCAACTGAATGCCAAATACATGCTAGTTACTTTACTACTTATATATATATTCATTTTCTGACACGTGTGTCATCTCTTCTGAATTTGAACCAAAATAAGGCACTCCAGAAAAAACAGTCACGTAGGAAGCTTAACTGATTTGTGATTAATTGAACATAGGTTACAAAAATGTTATTTAATAAAATCGGGTTTGTGTGAGTTGGAGGTAAATTTGAGTGTCCAAGGAGGTACGTTCCTTCTAAGAAGGGAAAAAAGGTTTCTTATTCATGGATAACCACTATAAAGAGAAAACTATAAAGAGAAAACAAGAACACAGACAGAAAACATTGCCTATGGAAGTGAACTATTAAGAGCAGCAAGGTTTGAAACACCTACACTCCCAGGAACTAGAGGGTCATATCATAGCAGACTAGAGTCAGTCCTTCCAGGAGTCCCATAATAAATACCAGATAAATGGAGTACTGTGTGAGTACACAAATCCTTAAAGACTGCCAGGTTCTTTTGTAAATTCAGACATTTGCCTTGATGATATTAATCCAAATTTGCCCTTCACACACTGCTGTGCACCACAATGTCCACCCAAGATGTGGCTGCATTTCAGCAGTGCTGTACAGGTGGATGTCTGAAGTGCTTTGGGATTCTTCAAAATGAAATCCTGTTGTAATATAAAATATTGCTTCTATAATTCTCTATAAAATGCTACTTTAGGATACCACAGTGAGAGAACTTAAATTAGACAGAGTATGGACCCCATCTTGTAATCTTTACCCATGACAGTAATCCTAAATAATAAAGACTGCTGGCATGAGTAACAGGTTGCAGGATCAGTTCCTGTGCAACTTTGGACAGTGAGAGGAGTCATTTTTTCTCTCCATTTATCCAGTAGCATGTTTAACAAACATTCAGGAGTCAGATTTGTCAAGGGAGAAGGCACAACACTGCTTAATATAGGCATAAGCACTCAGATCAAACTGAGTCTTCTTAGGCTTCTGGAAACATCCAGTTTCCACTTAGTACTCCCAAATTCAAATTGCCAGTATTCAAAAATCATGAGTCATCCTTCAAAATATCATGAGACTGGATTAAAAATCATAAAATACTTTTTTTAATTAAAAATTGAGGGGGGGGTTGAATGGGGGGCTTCTGATTTTTGAGATGATAGTGTACATTTGGGTCATGTTTTCAAGTTTCTCTCTGCAACCACAAGGTCTACAATCACTTTTTTTTTTTAAATGAAAGCTGAAATCCTCACATAATCACAGGATTCCAAGAACTAAAGTTTTAAGAAAAACACCAAATACTGTGAGACTTGGAATAAGAATCCCAAGAGTTGACAATACTACTACTAAGAGGTTTAACACAGGTATTACCATAGACTTCATTACTAACATTACATCATCTCATTAGCATAGTTATTCTGATCATTCTTACATCCAGCACAGCAAAATTCTTAACACCTGCCCTGCTGTTGGGTGCCAATTCAAGATTTTCCCCTCACTTTACCAAATAATTGGTAAATTCACATTCACATCTACTATACATGTGTCCTAATTTTTTCAAAGTGGCTGTAGCACAAGGAAATAAGTATTTAAGTCAGCACTGCAGGTTCAGTTCTATGCAGTGTAAATAAGAGTGCAAAGGAATTAGCTCTCTACCCAGTGTGACCTCTTTGGCTGGAGCTTTTGCAATGCTCCTGCTGTACATTAGCTATCTCCTAACTACTTCCCTGCTCAGAAAAGGGAGCTGTTAGCAGCAGTTGCTGTATAATTACTTACTTGATTCCCTCTAAGAAGCTTACACTAAGAGTTGAGCAAAGAAAGCAGATTAACAATTTGAATACATCCACCTAACCCTCACACATAAAACAGTGGGGCTACCAATAGATGTGGCCCAGGAAATTCACTTCATCTCATCCTGCTGGAACAATAAGGGGTTTCATTTTAATTGTGGGGCAATTGCATTGTGTGGGAGAGGGAAGGGGCGAGACAGGAAGAGATGGGCTGCAGTTACAGGGTGGGAGTGAGTGAGTGGAGATAGGACTCCTCCATCCCAGCAGCCAGATTAGTACCAGAGTAGGCGGCGGCGCAGCCTATAGTGCTCAGCCTGCTCTGCCAGTCACATGCTCCCCAATGTAACCTAGCAACAGCAAAGCCCAGAGAAAAAGTTCTCTCTCTCCCAACTTCAAATCTGTGTCTGGGACTGAGGGAAGCTTATTGTGCTCCAGACTAAGCATCTGTTTCTTTATTAGACTCTTTTTATAACATACCGCATCTGTTACACATACAACAGACACGTACACGTTGCACATGCACAATCAGTGCAAATAAACATAGCAAAGCCTGTGTCTGCCTAATGGAACACATCTCGAGGTGCAGCTTTACCGAGGAGCTTGTTGCAAAACCAGCTCTTAGAAACTGGGGGGACTCACTCAGCCTGCTCACTTTCGGCTTCCAAACCACCTGCGTTTGGTGAGTTGAGAGGGGCCGGCAACACGGCCACACACAGATCTTTATAGATGTTCTCCGGGGCACTAAACACGTTTCAGTAGCAAGCGCCAGGGCACAGCGATTGTCTTGCCCTCTTTTATGCACGGAGCCCTGGCCGGCCTCCTTGCAAGGAGCGCTCCCCCCCAGTTAAAGGCTTCTCTCTCCATTGCATCTCCAGAAAATGAAAGCCCTGCGTGACTTTGCGTTGGATTTGCACCGCCTGAACGGCCCTTCCAAACGACTGCTCCCCCCCGAGGACTTAGCCTCCTTCCTTGGGTAAAGAACCACCCCGGGGGAAGCAAAGGACGAAACCAGCCTGAGGCGGAGCTGTCACCGAAAACGCTGGGCTCGCTTCTTACAGCCCCCGGGCTCGCTCTACTTTCCACTACAGGATAAACAACTTCTGGGAAGAGTCACCTCCTGCTGCTCTAGCCCTCCGGGGACACAGCTCCCTTAGAGACCAGCAGCCACCGCCCCCCTCGCCTTCCCCCTGGCGTTCCCGAGGGGCCAGGGAGCGCCCCGAGCCCCACTCAGACGAGGCTGCAGTAGGGGGCTTACCTTGGCCACTAGCCTGCATGATGCATGCAGTGAATAATATGAGCACTTTGCAAGAAGCTGCTGCTCCTCCGTCCATCCTGTGGCGAGATCCCATCTGGGCTGGGATGCTCCAGCTCCCTGGGAAGCTGGCGGCTGGGCTCAGGAAGGCTGCTCGGCCCTGCAACAGCCCAAGCCGCCTGGTGTCTTTTTCTTATCCCGCTAGGTGCAGACGAAACTCCCACCCTCCAGACATTGCATAAAGCTCTTTATACCCAGCAGCCCCGGAACTAGCATGAGGGAATCAGGCATTGCTCCAGGCCCCTGCAGCCACAGGCTGCCTTGGCCCCTCCTTCCGCGCGCACTTTGCCGGGTAGGAGGGATGCTTTCACACCAATGCACTCCAATGACTTTTTACATCCCACTGGTGTAGCTTTACAATACATTTTGGCCAGATCCGGGGTGATTTCAAATAGCAAACAGCATTTGATGCTCCTCAGACGTCAGTGTCCCAACTGACAAACAATACAAGGAGTTAACGAAGGAGCCTTATAAAGGCTTTAGAACAAGTCATTACATTCAGACATGGGTGTAAAGTTTAAAACGCTGATTTCGTTGATTAGTCCATAAAAGAGACGCGGTCAATCACCTCTAAAACGCTGTTGAAGTCTTGACAATCACAGAATGAATCTTATTTCTCCACCAGAGCCTTTCATGAATTTCCCAGTCAGTCTCACAAAACGCTTGGGCCGAGTGTGAAGCTATTGCTAAGGGAAACTTTAATATCCCTGCTCCTAAATTTGTCAACAGAGGGTACTGTGACGATCCTGCCTTTGGTAAGGGGGTCTTTGTGTCACAGGTACACAATAAATCACGGGTAAAATATCCATCCAGGGTTCAGATATTGTTGCCATTTCAGGAATTAGATACAAGACTACTATAGAAAACTATGACAAATCATCATTCGAAAGGGGAACGATGGGATATGTTTGCATTTTTCCGAGATTACCCTCCACTCTAATCTGGTTGACATATTTTCGGAGCCCGTCAGAAGATTGTGATGGAAAGGCAGTACCGGGAGTATCACACAGAAATGATGTTAACTAACAGTATTTATAACTCGGTTAAAACTGCTGAGAGATCGTGTAGCTTAACATGACTCACAGTGGCACGGTAGTTCTTTTGGAGAGGAAATTTATCACGATAAAATTTTAGGTGGTGAACTTCACTTAGCCCTCCCCTCTCAATCCCAAACACAACATACTCGTGTTTTTCAGGAATAAGGGATTGTTGTATAAATCACGGTATCAGCGAGAGGGAGAGATGCATTTATCTCGTTACATGATTGGTCCTATTCATTTTAATTACCTCCATCTATACAAACTCCTTATATTGTTTGCATAAAGTTTACCGTTTATATTAAACTGCAGGGCTTGTTTGTAGAGTTTGACAGACATTTCTGAAACATTACTTAACTTTTTCTTGGTCCTGTCACAGAATTTAATTTCCAAAGTGCCTGTAATTTATACACGGCTGTTTTGTTGTTGATTGGGAGATACGGATTTTTCTTTGCGTTGATCGCTTAGGACCCTAATCCCACAAACGTTTCCGTAAGGATTTTCTAATATCTATCATGCTAGAGGAGGAAAGGGAGGGGGGAATAAGAAAGATAAGATGTGGAGTGTAGGCTTTGCAGGGTTGTGATTTATGCAGGTTCAGGGCTGCTTGGTGTAGTGGTACGACACAGCACCGGGGTCAAGCCACA